CCCCTCAGGCCCCCGGGGACTCCCCAGGCCTAACCCCCCTCAACCTCCCCAGGACTCCCGCAAACCGGACACCCCACCCGCGTCCCCCGCAGCCCGCCCGGCCCCGGCTCACCTGGGTTAGCGGCGGTAGCTGCCATGGTCAGAGCTGAGCGGGCAGGCGGCCACCCCCCCCACACCCCCGCCTCCCTGCTCAGCGCCGCTGCCAAGATGGCGGCACAGGAAAACCCTCTGCGCTCCTGCGCAGCCTACCCTGTGCCTCCCGAGGGGCGGGGCGAGGGCGCCGTACAGCGCTCCTATTGGTTCAGCCGGGAGGCGAGGGGCGGGGTGAGCGCCCCCCCTCCCCACACGGCACTGCCAGCAGGGTAGGGTGAGCGCGGGAAAGCCCCGCCCACTACTCCCGAAGGGGGCGTAGCTCCGGCTGGAGGGGGCGTGGCCACGGCGGGGGTGTGTGGGGCGGGAGGCGCGCGCGGGGCGAGGGAAAGGTCGGGACGGGTGACGTCACGTGTTGGGGCGGGTTTTGGGGGGAATGGCAGGAATTCTGCTGGGATCGGGGCTCGGACTGGAGTTACGGGGGGAATGGGACTGGGATGGAGGAGGGGCAGGGATTGGGACTGGGATTAAGGCTCAGACTGGGATTGGGACTGGGATTAGCGGTTGGGAATGGGATTAATGGTTGGGAATGGGATCGGGGACTGGGATTAAGGTTCAAACTGGGACTGGGATGGGGACTGGGATCAAGGTTGAGGGAGGGACTGGAACTGGGATGACGGCTGAGACTGGGATTAAGGTTCAGACTGGGATCGGGACTGGGATGATGGCTCAGACTGGGATCAGGACTGGGATTAGTGATTGGGACTGGGATTGGGATTGGAATTAAGGTTCAAACTGGGACTGGGAACGAGACTGGGATCAAGGTTGGGGCAGGAACTGGAACTGGGATGACGGCTGAGACTGGATTAAGGTTCACACTGGGATTGGGATCAGGACTGGGATCACAGTTGAGGCAGGGACTGGGATTGGGACGAGGATTAAGGTTCAAACTGGGACTGGGATTAAGGTTGAGACTGGGATCGAGGTTGGGGCAGGGACTGGGATGAAGGCTCAGACTGGGATCGGGATTTTGGGGGTGTTTTACCTATTTTGGGGTTTGTTGGGAGCCATTTCCCACGAGCTAAAGGGGGGGGGGCTCATTTTAAAGCCCAAAACATCGCCGTTTCCATGAGTTTTCCCCATTTTGGTCAGAAACGAGCGTGGGGCTGGCATTTTGGGGGGGTAAATCCTCCTTTCCACTCCCCGAATCACCCCGTGGTGCCCCCCAACCCCTCCAAGAGCCCCCCCCGGGGTGAGAATTTAATCCCATTTTGGTCAGAAACGAGCGTGGGGCTGGCATTTTGGGGGGGTAAATCCTCCTTTCCACTCCCCGAATCACCCCGTGGTGCCCCCCA